ATTATAAATATTTATTATAAATAAGATATAACAAATATAAAGGATAAATATATTATATTGAATTAATAATGATTGAACGAGATGAAATTTTTTGGTACAATAAAACGAAAAGATCAATGTCGTTGGAATCATTTCGACCCCGAGATCTCGCATCCCGGAATTTCCTTCTCGCCCGGTCAATTGAAGGGGTACTGCTGTGCGAACGTTGAAAGTTTTTGGAATTGTAAAAAAAAAATATATTGAATGTATGTAATATACAAAGTTATACAGATCCTTTCGAGTAGAAAATGCTATTTTTCTTTAGCATTTTGCACTACATTACCTTCATATTTAGACTGAGGGTAGATACAACAAACATGTGTTTCATCTCTTCAGAATTTTAGTAATATATAAAACAATACTTTGCAGAATGCAATTTTAGTCAGTGTATTTAAATAGTGCGGTTCAAACTGTTGAAAAAAAATATATATAGCTGTATATACAATTGAATTAATAACTGATCGTCAGTAAGATATTATAGTAATGCATAAATATGATAAAATAAAGACATAAAGTAATACATTACATGCAATAATATTTGGTCGCATTATACAAGGTACATATTGTAGTATTTTACTTTCATATATTATTACGTACGAAAATTACTCATAACTCCCTTCCGTAATAGAGCAATCGATTCTCTTCCCGTTTCAGTCGCTACGTTAATTCAAATTTACCGCCGAAAGTGTTCCATCTATCGTATCAACTAAGCACGACACACATTTACCTAGGAATCCCTACAATACCGACAAACCCATCCAACGCGCACTAAAAAACATTCAAAACAAATTTAATATCGTGATTTCCATATAATTTCGAATGTCTATTATTTAAAAATCATTACTTTGACAATCCCAAACGTTCATTATAATTATCCCACGAAACTTAAGTTATATTCCATTTATCGCTTTATGTACTTTCTCAAAAATAATAATTTGTATGCATTTCTGTGTATTTAATAATTATATTGTATAAAGTAACGATGACAATTACGCGATAGCGATAGAAGCGGAAACTCGTCAATAGATACGGAAAGATGCGATCCGATTGATCACTGGACGATGCCTCAGCCATACGCGAGGCAGAGTGGGCTCGGAGCGGTGTCCGTGTCCAGTGCCTCCAGTCGTACCAGAACCACCGACCGGTGCGGAAGTTCTTCCTCGTGTGTTGTTCTCCCGCAGTCGTGTCTACGTACGCGCGTATCGGTGATACTCTGGCAACCGTGCGGGTTCGGCTCTCTCTCTCTCGTCACCGCCGAAATTCCAGGGTCCAGTGCATTTTTAGCCGATCCGTACCGCGGGATCGAACTGTGAAAGACGCCGGGGACGGAAGATTTCTGTGCCGCTTTGAGGATCGCGGTTATAAGTATACGTGACACGTACTACGTCAGGAGCGAACGACACTGATCGACGAGCAAACACATTCGTCGCCTTCTTCCCGTGATCCGTGTGCATCGGCCGGGCAAACATCATCGACGTGCCCGAATAATATTCCGGCGTCCTGATTCGGCTCGTTCTTGAACCGGTGCGATACCCGCCTCGGGAGGCGATTTTGATCGGCGACAGCGAGCTGCACTGAAAACTGTTGGATCGGCACGAACGGCGAGGAAGTGAGTAAACACGTTTCACGGTTGTTTTTCTTTTTCCTCGATGAACGCTGATAGTGCAAAGTACAAGTTCCCTCTCGTTTTTCCCCCCTCGCGATCGTCTTCCATACACCGTGCGTGTACGTGCGACAGTGGGTGCTTAGCTAAGCTTTTTGTATACTCTTTCCTGTCTTTTTTCCTTTTCTCGTGGCACGGTCGTTCACTTCTGGATAAACGGTCGATCGTTTTCGCGGCATCCCGATAGGTTAGATTTCGTGTACGACGCACCGATTCGAACGCGGATGGAAATTACAACTCTCGAGCGACGTCAAACGCATCCGTTGAAACGGCCAGTCAGCTGACGGGTAACGAAAGCGTGGAAAGGTCTTATTAGGGAAGAATCGAATCGCGGATTTTGTATAATACTTCCATGAAACAGGAAAAAGAAATGCTTGTCCCGAGCTGGGTAAATGATTTAATAAACCTATCTGTTATGTGTATATTATATTGACGATCGGTAATGGGGGTTATTTGATGTTGCACGCAGGTGAAAAAATCGCGGAGAAATAACCAAAACCCATTTCTTGTTACAACTTTGATCCACTTGTGTTTTGAAAATGACAGCAGTTAATGGTAAACGCACGATTAAGAATAAGTGAAGGTGGTCAGCTAACGTTACTGTACTAGGGAATAAAAATAGCGAATACATTTTTTATGAGTGTTAGATAAGAAGCGCTCAAGGCGGAAGTGAACTCGAAATTCGATTTAATTGCTTCATTCATACACGATGCTTTATTTAGAAGCGTCAATGTTCCATTTTGTGTATAACTTTATGGAAATGCATTTATTTAGCACGATCCTTGTTTCGCGAGATTTTCAAATTATATGTCATAAACAATGTTAGAAATTTTGCTAATTACTAGACTGCGAATTTTATGCAATTACAGCCAATAGGGCTTTGTGTAATACAATAGAGAAAAAACTTTCGTCAAATGTAAACTGTTTTCTACTTTATTCTGAACCCAATAAGATATTTAAGAAAAGAACGAAATTTCTATGTTTACTGTTATCTTAAAAAATTATTTTAGAAAATGTTTTGCATAAAAATCCGTACTCTACTAATTACAATAGTTTAGGTTGATCACGCTGTACCAGTAACTAACATTTATACATGAAATACGACTTATTTAGGTTCTGTTTATAATAGTAATTTGTTAGAAACATACATGCTCGTGTTTCAGCAATTTATTTAATTTAAAATTTACTGACCACCTGGGAGAATTGTTTTTACACAGCAATCGGATTTATAATACAGAATTTGAATGTCAAAACCCAATTGTTGCAACTAAACAAAGCACGAAGAATTGTGTCTAACGAATTGTGAAATCGATCGAAAGAAAGAGGCACGTTATTACTCCGTGCGAATGATTCGATTAATGGAATGATTAAGATTTACGCGACGGGTCGGCGTAAAAGGATTTCTTCGAGTCCAATATCAAACGGCACGTTTTATTTATCCTCCCTCCAGCGCTCTTTACCCGCGATTACCATACGAGCGACTACAAACCGGGAAAACGATGGAAATAGAGCTTGCAAAATAAATATCACGCTTATGCATGTGAAATATTGTTTTTACCCCCACCCCACAAGCAAACTTCGTGGCTATATTGGATCGTTTGTCAAATTTTGTATATTAGATTATTGAAAAAATTATGATAAAACTTCGATAAAAGTCTGGTCTATTCGTTGTCTGGGAGAATTAATATTCCTACTTATTGAGATTTCCTATCCGTCATTCTTATTACGTGACACCTCGCGCTCACCTGTAAGAAAAGTGATTTTCATCTATTCGCTAATCAACATTGTTTTTCCGTTAATTCTAAACGTACTCCTCTCGTTTATTTGGGTTATGTTCCAACTGTGGTTATCGTCTCTGATTGCGAAAAGAATATTATTTTTCGAATATTTTAATTTCGTTGCAATAAACTGCAACGGCCCAGTCATATATACGACACGTCACTCCGTGTATGAATATTTAATGCGTAACCGCAGATTGCTCAGTACTTACGGTAATATCATCGCTTGGAGACGGAAAGAGAAACGTTACTGGGGATGTCCTTGATACACCGGAAGACCAGGAAAATTTCGAAGAATATTCTGGCATGTCGAGGACAAAAGATTCAGGTGGTTACATGATTTCCGGAAGAAAAAGAAAATCTTTAATCGAGTGATATGCGAGTAGACGCATGCTTTACCTGGATGCTTTATATTTTATCTTATAATACTGGAAGTGTCAGGGTGGTCAGGCACTTTTGATAACGGTCAATTAAGAATCGGTATTTTTATAATTTCGGTTTAGAGGATCCTCCAGGAGATTTTAGAGTAATCGGGTAAAGGATATATATTTTGATACTTTGAAGGACACTTGTGAAAGTGGTGATTATTCGAGCAATGGTACCTAATGTACCATTGAAATACATGTTTAAGAAATGTAAATTGTAGATACTTGTCGATGAAAATTATTCGAGTATTAATTTGTAAAGAACAATCCCTTGTCCATGTTTCAACTACTATAGGCAATATTCTAGATACCTAGATACCAAAGTACCCTATCAGTTACACCATACACTGACCTAACCAGAATTATCAAGAGTACGCGGTAGCCGATCGTAATGTCCAAGATAACCGAATATTTCGATCGTTTAAGAACCGATGCTCGTACATACTTTCGGTTGCACAAACCGATCAAACACGACGTACGTGTGTGTGTGTCACTTCCGTTATCACGCGGCGAGATTCGAACATCAAAGAGAACGCGTTACACGCGACAGCTTTGTATTTTAAGGGGGGGGGGGGCCGAGTATTGTCCGTAATTATCGGCTCGTCCTTAGTCGGTTGACATAAACGATGATAATAGTTTACGTGCAGCGTTCGCGATATTTTCATTACGCTTATCGTACTGAGGGTGGCAGGGGGGAGGAACGTAAGTTTTCTCGTAACACGACTGCATTTACATTCCACGTTCCGTGCACACCTATTCCTTCTTCTTCTTCTTTTTTTCTCCCCCCTTCTGTTACCTCTTGTACCCTCGCGGGCGAATTTTTTTCAATGAATCGTTCGGGAGGAGGCGACACGAACTCCCGAGCCGGCTCGTTATGTCGGGGACCGCGAGTTGGCTATTATTAGTTTTTATTTCGTTGCAAATTGCATCGCCGTTTTGTAGGAATCGCGGGCGGTGTGTTGGTTCGAGCATCGCACGGCGGAAAGGTTAATGACACGCCCCAGCGCGGACGGAACGGTGAATCGCTTCCGTCTTTTCGTCAGGCTCGGCTCGCGATACTTACCTGTCAGTTCGATGCCAGGTGACGGAATCATGTTTCGTACAGGCACTGGAAACGATGTAACGAGGTCGTGTATCAAAATCTTTTTATTTTTAACCCTTTCGATACTTATGTCGAGTGTACTCGTTATGGAAAGATGTCATTTTTTGTTTAACGATGAGTTATTGAAGAAACGTATTGGTAACATTGAAGTCGATTTTTGCTGTATTAACAAAAATGTTTTTTAACTGTAAATACATAAATCGATTAGAAATGTGTTAAATGGATATTAAGATTTAATTAATATGTAAATATTGTACGATAAATAGTAATCTTTTGTTGTTACCAATTTGCATAACCAAGGTCTTACTGTAGAATGGAATCCCGATTCTTGACACTAATTATGTCATCGTGACACCAATCCAGTAACCAAACGTGCCCTTAATCGAATCTCGATAATTGAACATTCGCGTAAACCAACGTTCGTATAATTGGTATTCCGTCGTGGCAGAATTCTTCCTCGAAACTGTTCAAGGGTTACTGTACTTCATTGTGTCTCGATGTTGCTTGAGATATGCCTGATCCCATCGCTAATATTGTGTAATATGGGGACAGCTGGGCGTAAATATACACGACACAACAGAGGCGAGCCGCTATTTCGATCTACGTTTGATCCACTGAACGAAAAAAGAGTGGGCGGTGTGTCTGTTCGATTCGGATCCATTCGTGCTTGAATTTTTCATCAAAGAAATTGAACTCTCTTTTTTCCTCCCCGTCCCATCTCGCCACCCCGTCTCTTTCGCTGATGTTATTCCGCGAGGTGATCTGCACGTCGGCATTCAGGGGATTGGAAACGTTGGTTTCTGTCTCGTTTTGCGCGCAGGTCTTACGAGCTGGCGAAATTTCACGTGCTTGGTTGCGAATATTCCACGCTCGTGGGCTCCAAACGTGACGTTCTTTGGCTTGGATAAATCTACTGGGTGACCCGGAAGGAATAACATTTGAATGAATAAAATAACAGAATCCTACCTGTAGGTTACTAAAAGCACTATTTTTTAAATTCTTGTTGAATAACCAATATTGCGGTGAAGTGGTAGCTAAGTTTCTATGTACTGGGTGTGTCATTTTAGTCTAGGATAAAATACGGTGAAGTTAAATAAGTATGTTCCAAATTGTAGAAAATTGTGTGGTTAAGGAAGAAGGAAATGGTAAATGGAGATGCAGAGAACAGTTCAAGATTATTGTTTTAAATAGAATATCACAATTGGGACTTTATATAGTGATAGTGGCTTTCGAGATAAGCCTGATGATTTATCGCACAAGGTCATTCAAGGTCAGGATATAGTAGAATAATCTGACATCATTGTTTGCAACGCTTTTTCTGATATTTCTATTATGGTACTTTGTAAACAGTACTAAATTTTTTAGTATGTGCATTCTAAATATGTTTCTGCAACTAGTATTGTTATTTATATGTTATACACAGCAGTACTTATGCACTTTTCGCAGATAGAATATTCAATTCTGTTTTTACATGAATTTTTTACACGCATTTTTCGGAAGAATGCGTGTGAAAAAAAATGCATGTAAAAACAGAATTGGGTGTACGCTGGTTTTATGATGGAATATTTGTTCCACGCAGTAAGCAAATAAATGTGTGATTACTGTAGCTGGCTATCCAACGTCTCGTATTATAATATGATTATGTACGGAAGAGACCGCCATAGTAGCATTCCACGCTAAACAATCACTTCGTGAGAAGCCACTGTAGTGGCGCATAGTAGATAGAGGATTAAGGCGTCAATTGTTATTAGCCTACCTTAGATATATGTATAACTTGAAGGTTAAGAACACTCTTGCTTCTGATTTTTCTGATAATTTGTTTAACAAATTAACCTAGCCTCATAGGGTGTAAGACGTTTTCTGTAAACGATTGTTTGTTTCATCCCCGATCAACAAGATCCACATTTCTCTAATTCCTTTGTAATTTGATAATAGTACCATAATAAGAGTGTAACTAAAACTGTTACACGAACACCAACGGTAACAAAATCACTAATAATATTGTTACCTGATAAGATCATCCATTGATCTTGCACATTATTGCGACTGTTTCCAACTTTTTTCATTCTCAAATCTCTTGCATTTCCACAGGCGTATGAATATTTCAATCTCAATCTTCCAATATTTTCAGTCTCGTGTGGTTCAATTCCGCGACTGGCAAATGCATCGATCATTTGGAGATTAACCCTTTCATTTTCGTTGGCGCCTGTAGGCGTTATGAAAAATTTGCAAGAGATGAATGTTCCAAGTTATTACCATTTGTGCAATAACTGTACCGATGTTGTACGTATATACAATATCTTTGCGATATGTTAGTTAATTCATTAACAACCGATGAATCGGTGGAAAATCGGTATCTAGCAGTTCCATAGCTAACTTATTATCTAGCAAAAAAAAAAAAAAAAAAGAAAGTCGTATGGCAGAATAAAAGACGTTCGTTCTACTTAAAAAATAACATTAAGTGGACGCTCAGCCTTTTTTCTTTGTATTCTCCAAATGTTTCTGTCTGTACTACATATTCGATAAGTGTTCTTATACAGTAATATCTCGATGAGTGCGACAAACTCGGGTCTGTTTCGGAGCATTCGTGACAAGGCGGAAAGGTTTTCAGCACTTTATAAATATGTTTTTTGAACCAAGCTGAGCCTCTGCTTAGCTTCTGCTTACTCCCTTTTTAGTGGTGCCAAAAAGGAACCCCTCCCAGTGGTGGGAATAACACTGTTGTCTGTGTTGCATTCATCGAGGAATTACTGTACTTATGAGTGGCGTTCTCGCCTGGGGAAAGCCTTGGAAAAACGACACTCTGGGAGGAGGCTGGTAACACGAGTTGTGCAGACGACACGAGAACCGGAAGGTATTATACGAATCCCCGTGGTTGTGCAATTTATGAAAATTATACGGTCCGTTCCGTGAAACGGAATACAGCCTTTTATCGTTGTGCAGTTAAATTGAAGCGCGTGCCGCCTCGTTGGGCTGCTCGAGAAGGCTCAAGGTGTACACCGGTGTTCAGATTCTACTGTTATCAAGGTACCGATTACCGAAACCGGTGACTGGGTAATTTGTGACTTGGAATAAAATCTGGTGCATACATACACTACCATTTATTAAGTACATATTTGGCCAAACACCGAAAAAAGGTTTATACTTGTCTTCAATTGTACGTTTCAGTTTGAGAATATACATTAAATGATCGTAAGTAGTCTGCGGATTTTATGCCTTTTTTGAGGAACCCTGGTATTTAAAATTAAGTGTAATAGGAAATTTAATGAAGATTATTAAGGTTTTTATTTTATTCGGAATCTGTTGAAAACCGCTAACGAAGTGAATAAATTTTTATTTTGACTCCGGTTTATTTATGATTTTATAAGCAGTCTTTACAAAATTGTTTTTGCATAAACATTCGCGGTCTAATCGTAAGTTTTACTTGATTTATGGCCCTTATTGCGAAGAGAATGATTTCATTTGAAGAATTCGAAACATATTGTTGGTAAAGTGAATTTAATATTGACGGGCAAATATTTATGAGCGGTAGTGTATAAGACGATATTCACTGGATAAAAAGAGTTTTGTTGTTGTGTTCATCGGAGGGTTGTTAGTGACCCGGCCATAGGCATGCGAGGGTTAATAGCGGATGGGTCGTCGAAGTATCGTCGACGGTCGATAGGTCGTTAGCGGTAATTTAATTCGTTGTAGTGTTTCAGTTTGCAAATGAAACGTTGATACGTATGCAATTTGTATGGTTGTCAGTTCAGGTCTTACTTAATCCTCGTTGAACAGTGCATGAATTTGTATGGGTCCACGAAGGGTATTGTAGAAGTTTCTCCTTCCATGTTCGGTACTTCTCGCGAGTGAGAGTTATTCTATTGACAGAATTATCGGGCGAGTGTAATAGGTCTGTCGGTTAATTGGAATTGCGTTTGCATATTTGTGACAAGATATTTTTTACTTGAAAAGCTTACAGATATTACAATAATATTTATTCTTAGACTGTATTAAAAAAGATTAATTCTCTTTGTACCTACTACGTTTAAATTGGATTTACGTGTTCCTGATGAATAGAAATATTAAATATAATACGAATGTGGTATCCGTCAGGTTCCACAGAAAATAAACGACTTTGTCAAACCGTTAAGTAGAATACATTTTAGACAATATTGTATGCTACAAATCCACAAGACCCGTGTTTTATGCTATACAATGTAAAAAAAAAATAATAGTATAGCTACATTATTAACATTAGCCGAGTGACTCACTGATGCGAAATAAATTAATTATAGTGCACTCTGGTGAAAATTTTTATACTACTTATCATGTACGAGGTCCAATACTGTTGAAGACAAGACAGTCGGACCACGATACAGAGTGCACAAACAGTTGTGATATAACTGAACAGCGGATAAGCTGCGTGTACAAAAGAATGGAAAATATACTATAAAAATTTTTCCAGAGGAAATTTCATTTCTGTGAAAGTAAAATTTAAATATTAAAATACGGGAATCAAATTAATATATAACAAAGTATGAGCTAACTAACTGCTCGTTCATTCAATAAAGTATTTAACTAAAACAGTTGCTAGTTTCAATGAATGACAAATTTAAAATATGTAAAATAAACTTGTATAAATGTTGATTCTAACCTAATATTTAATTATATTCTATTTAACTCTTTCTTCTTTACGTAAACAGCAGTTTATTCCACGCGTATGTTTCGCACAACGCGAAGGAAAAAAAACTTCACCAAGACAAAAGCGGAAAAAAGCGAACATGCAGATGTTTCTTTCATCCTCCCGTCTATATTGCCCCCACTGGTCGAACAATAATTGTCAATTGACTATCAATACGATCTAATGAAACCGTACCGATGCATCGACGCGCTTCGTTAAAATCCTATGCTCGATCTTTACTCAAAGTATTAGGACTTTGCATCGATACCATCGCTTATGTCCGACGAAGATTAATCGAATCCCCGAAGAAAGTTCGAACATTTTACGATCTCATTATAGCTCATGCCACTCAATCTTACATT